TACATTGGTATGAATACATGAGCGTACTCATCAGGATATATTCAACGTGTCTAGCCCCAGAGAACACAGAACTACGTCATCATTGTTTAAGATTTGTTGCCTGTCTCTTATCAGTTTCGAAGTGCTGCTTTCAGAAATGATGCTCAGATTTATGTACCAGGTATAATTTTGATCGAATCGCCTACAAAGTATTGTTGCCACTATCCTTCATCATATGATAGATCTTAACATGATAGTTCGTAGAGGATCTGAGGGAGAGAGAAAATAGGGAGCTACAGGGCACTTGAGGACACTGAAAACTGCTGGTTGACGTCAAATCTCTGCACTCACGAAAGTATATCGTATTTGTTTTGTAAATAAGTGGTTCAGAGGTAGAATAATGAATTAGACACTTGTGCAACACTTGGGTATCTGTATTGTGGTAACGCTTCGCCAACCAGTGTCTTCCTCAGTCCATTAAAGACAAGAATGGTTGAAAATCAGAATGAGTTTGATCAGTCCCTCAGCCTGGAATCGATGTTATAAGTCCATCAATCTCGATAAAAGCAATCGTAGGCGGTGTCACATTGGACATATCCACAGATGGAAGTAGGTCATGTCTATAGGTTAGGCACGTATAGAATTCCCTGTATGAAGATCCCAAGATGTTGCTGTGTCTGACAGGAATGTAGATAAATGGTTCAGAGAATCAACAGGATGATGAATTAAACACTTGGGCAACACCTGGGTAACTTTACTGAGGAAACGTTTCGCCATTCAGCGGCTTCCTCAGTCCAATACAAAGAAGAATGGTTGAAGATGCCTATAAGTATGACTTACTTCCACCAGTGAATTTGTCCAAGGTAACACCGCTAACGACTGCTTCACTTCACCTGTCTACAGTAATGTAGATAAATGGTTCTGAGAACCAACAAGTTGATAAATTAGACACATGTGCAACACTTGGGTATCTTTATTGTGGAAACGTTTCGCCACACAGTGGCTTCATCAGTCCATACAGTCTGACACAGCAACATCTAGGGATCTTAATACAGGGAATTCTTCACTTGCCTAACTCTTGGGCACGACCTACTTCTACATTGGTCAAATGTGACACCACCTACGACTGCTGCACCTCTCCTGTCTACAGTACATAAGCCACTTCTTCGCACAAATGCTGTATTCTTTTCAAGATTGATGGACTGATTTCATCGACTCGAGGCTGAGGGACTGATTACCTCAAACTCCTCCTGTTCTTCACCATTCTTCTTTGTATGGACTGATGAAGCCACTGTGTGGCGAAACGTTTCCTTATTAAAGATACCCAAATGTTGCACATATGTCTAATTTATCACCTGTTTACAGTATATGAGCTCCTCCATGCCAGGTTGATGGGGTGATCATATCGACTCCAGGCTGAGTGACTGACTACCTCAAACTCTTGCTATTTAACCATTCTTTTCAGTATTGCACTGAGGAAGCCACTGGTTGGCGAAACGTTTCCACTATGATACCCAAATGTTTCACAAGTGTCTAATTCATATATTAAATTTGTTTTAGTACAGGTGTTTATTTAAGGTGTTGCTTCAGAGTAGAGTTGTGGTTCCTGTGACGATGGCTAAACGAGAGTGTGTTATCTGCCCGGACAATTTCTGTCACATTTGTGGTGAAATTGTCATTAAGAAGATACAAAGACATATATATTACACACTTTGTCAAAAAGATATTACGCATACTTTGGAAACCGGAACAAATCTTAGGTTCCCCATAAAGTCTGTTCTGTGTTGAAGAACTAAAGCAGTGAACGATAAATACGAAACAATATTTCATTTTGGTGTCCCAGTTATCTGGAGGAAACCAAAATATCAGAGAAAGTTTTTAATTTTTGAGCATGAGCATTCCAGGATTGTCGGATGGCAAACTAAAAGAAGATATATTTGTCTGGAGAGATACGGGAAAACTTCTTCAGGGTAAGAATTTTGAAAACTCTCTATATGGTGTCGAAAACGAAACGTGGATTGCCTTCAAAGATGGCATAAGTAATCTAAGGTAACTACAAGGACCCAAACGATAAAGAATAATCTTGAAAAAATGATGGAGAAGTTCACGCCTTAAGGTGCAATTTTATATATATATAGTTTAATATATATAATATTATATATATATTTATATATATAATATATATATATATATAAAATTGTGGTTGTTGTGTGCGTAGTAGCAGTAGTATGTTTGTCTACATACAGATTACCTTGGTACTTTCTCTCTCTTTAAATCCAGTTAATGTGTCATCTGATTCTCACTCGTTGCTCGCCAGAGTTTCAGGAGATTCAGTTCAAATGAACATCCAGGACTCGACATTTTTAGAGAGAATGGAGCGAAACAGAATGGACTTCAAGAGTGTATCAGTCTGTAGTGGAAGGAAGGCGGGGTTGGGGTCGGCCTAGGAAAGGTTGGAGGGAGGGGGTAAAGGAGTTTTGTGTGCGAGGGGGCTTAGGACTTCCAGCAGGCGTGCATGAGCGTGTTTGATAGGAGTGAATGGAGACAAATGGTTTTTAATACTTGACGTGCTGTTGGAGTGTGAGCAAAGTAACATTTATGAAGGGGTTCAGGGAAACCGGCAGGCCGGACTTGAGTCCTGGAGATGGGAAGTACAGTGCCTGCACTCTGAAGGAGGGGTGTTAATGTTGCAGTTTAAAAACTGTAGTGTAAAGCACCCTTCTGGCAAGACAGTGATGGAGTGAATGATGGTGAAAGTTTTTCTTTTTCGGGCCACCCTGCCTTGGTGGGAATCGGCCAGTGTGTTAATAAAAAAATAAAAAAAATATAATATATTATAAAAGGAAGAGTAACATGCGCAATTTTGAAAGGAAGAGACAGATTTAACAAGAAGGAATCTGGAATTTATTAGTGACAAATTTTAAAATATTTTAAATGGTGTTGGATGCAGCTTCAATATAAACACATCTTTCCTACATTTTTTTTTCTATTTGATAACACACTATTTATGCATAAAATTTAAGTAAAGTTCTATAGTGGATATAGAATAACTGATATAGTGTTTGGAATCAGCAAAAGAAAAAAAAATGCGAAATAAGTCAAAGTAATTGAAAATTGTTTTAAACATGTAATATTTTGTAGGCTTGTGTAATTTTTCTACTGGGAGTTTTGCAGTTATAATTATAAATTACAAAATTGCAAGTTAAATATTTCTGACACTCTTAAAATTAACTCTAGTTTCTGTTTAGAAGTAGTGTGTCAGAGTGGCAAAGAGGATCCTGGCAGAGTAACGCTCCAGGGTCTTCCATGTCATGGTATCCTAGCCACAGCAGCAATTAAATAAGCTTGACTGTTTCGCAACACATGCACCATGCCATGCTGTGGTGCATTATGAACTGTAACATAAGTGGCAGTCCTGTCATTGTTGGGTCACAGGTGAGTTCGTGCAGAATGACGCGCCTCCGTCCCATTAACCCGTCCCTCCTCCTGGTGCACAACCTCTGCAATAATAAAATACTCTGAGTTCTGTCTTTAGAGCATAAAACAATCCTTCATTCACTCTATAGTGGAAGTACAGGAGACTGTTTATGAAAAAAGTCGAGTATGCTATGCCAGCTCTGTGCATCAGTTTGCACTCTAGTCTGCCATCTGTATCACATACGCTCAGGACCACCACTGTGTAACATAATGTATATCCCACTTGATAGAAGAGACCCTTCTCCAGTGGTAAGAGCTTTACAGCTCTCTCCCCAGAAGGTCTCTCCCCAGAAGCCTGGAGAGAGAGCTGTAAAGCTCTAACCACTGGAGAAGGGTCTCTTCTATCAAGTGGGATATACATTGTTACACAGTGAGTGGTCCTGAGCGTATGTGATACAGATGGCAGACTAGAGTGCAAACTGATGCACAGAGCTGGCATAGCATACTCGACTTTTTTCATAAACAGTCTCCTGTACTTCCACTATAGAGTGAATGAAGGATTGTTTTATGCTCTAAAGACAGAACTCAGAGTATTTGTACAATAGCACAAATACAAGGCCTGGTATTACAAGCCAGTGTTCAAATTAGCCGCCTGGTATCATAACCAGTCAAAATGATCTTTATTAAGCTGAGTTACCGCTCTCTGTGAGTTGCTGCTTATCTCTCGCCACTCATCAGGAAACACAGATGATGAATGAATGTTATTCCAACTCTTAGTTGTTTTGGAGACCAGTGTCTGTGTTGTACAAATTGTTTAGTAGTGTTGAATTTTGAATGTATCTTTCATTTCTCTTTAATGTATAAATCATACTAATATATAAGTTTTTTGGGAAATGCATCATTTACGGCAGTTTTATATAACAATTTTGTTCATACATTGTCCAGTGCGAGGTGTAAGTTCATTGAGTATCAAACTCGCACACGAAAATCACTCCTGTGAAAACAAAAGACTGGGCAGGAGATGCAACATTCTGATGAAGAGCAGGGGAGCCACGAGTACGTTGAGAGAAAACACAATAAGTGTCTGGGGCCCAAGACTGTTCAACTGTCTCCCAGGATACATAATGAGGATTACTAATAGACCCCTGGCTGTCTTCAAGAAGTCACTGGACAGGCACCTAAAGCCAATACCTGACCAACCGGGCTGTGGTTCGTACGTCAGTTTGCGTGCGGCCCACAGTAACAACCTGGTTGATCAGACCCTGATCCACCATGAGACCTGGTCTCAGACAGAGCCGCGGGGGCGTTGACCCCCGAAACCCTCTCCAGGTAAAAGTGCAGTGTGCTGGAGGTGAGACAAGTATCGAGGGGAAGGTAATGTCTGCTACTGAACTTTCCAAGGTCTAACTCACCACAGTTTTCACAGTTATTTACTTATAACGAAGACTGCTAAATATATGATAAATATTCAAAGGAATATCTCACTGGGAGGCGGAAAGGTGAGACCTCATCTGAAGTCATTAACCAATGATACATATCTAATGAGAGAAGTATCTCCAATCCCTTGAATCAAAAACCTTTCATTATCATCAAGTGGTACTTACCTGTCAAGATCTACCTTCTCCACTGATACTGGTGTATTGTTGGGTCTCAGGAGCTGTATCTGCGCTACAAGATGGTTTTGCCCATGGGTATGGGCATGGGCATGAGTATGAGCGTAAGGGCGACCCGGAGAACTGCGACGACCCGAGTATACCCGCGATGACCTGAAGAGAAAGCCAGGTCATAATGAAAGCATGTTAGTGAGTCTAGTCATTATGGGAGGGAGGATCGAGCCTGCAATATTTTGACCCGCAAGAGGGGAGAGCCTTCATTATACTACTGCAGAATGACCCACACGGGTTTAATGCTTCATTTTTAACATTTTATTAATAATAATATTATTATTATCATTGTCGTTGTTGTTTATGCTTTCATTATCGTGTTGTTATAATTATTACTGAATTATTATTATTATTATTATTATTATTATTATTATTATTATTATTATTATTATTATTATTATTATTATTATTATTATTATTATAATTATTATTATTATTATTATAATTAGTGATAGTAGTAGTAGTTGTTGTTGTCTTAGTAGTAATAGCATTAGCAGTAGTATTTTATTATTATTATTATTATTATTATTATTATTATTATTATTATTATTATTATTATTATAATTTATTATTATTATTATTATTATTATTATTATTATTATTAGTGATAGTAGTAGTAGTTGTTGTTGCCTTAGTAGTAATAGCATTAGCAGTAGTATTTTATTATTATTATTATTATTATTATTATTATTATTATTATTATTATTATTATTATTTTATTATTATTATTATTATTATTATTATTAAATGAAAGCTTAGATCCAAGGAAATGGAGCATAACTCTAGTTTCTTGGAACAGACTCCGGTACAAACAGCAACTATGCATCAAACTGACAGTAATTAAGTACAAACCTGAGAAAAATTAGGTACCAACCTGGTAGAAATTAGGCACCAACCTGACAGAAATTAGGTACCAACTTAACAGAAATTAGGTACAAACCTGACAGAAATTAGGTACAAACCTGACTGAAATTAGGTACTATCCTGACAGTATTTAGGTACCAACCTGACAGAAACTAGGTACAGAAATTAGGTAAAATCCTGACAGAAATTAGGTACCACCGTGACAGAAACTATGTACCATCCTGACAGAAATTAAGTACCAACCTGGTAAAAACTAGGTACATAAATTAGGTACCAACCTGACAGAAACTAGGTACCAACCAGACAGAAATTAGGTACCAACCTGACAAATTAAGTACCTACATTATAGAAATAAGGTACCAACCAGATAGAAATTAGGTACGAACCTGACAGAAGCTAGGTACCAATCTGATAGAAATTAGGTACGAACCTGACAGAAATTAGGTACCAACCTTCATAAATTAGATACCAACCTGACAGAAATAAGATACCAACCTGACAGAAACTAGGTACCAACCTGGTAGAAATTATGTACCAACATGATAGAAACTAGGTATCATCCTGATACAAACTAGGTATCAACCTGATAGGAATAAGGTACTAACTTTCAAGAAATTAGGTACCAACCTGACAGAAATTAGGTACCAACCTGACAGAAACTAGGTACCAACATGGTAGAAATAAGGTACCAACTTGACAGAAACTAGGTACCAACCTAATAGAAATTAGGTATTAGCCTGACAGGAATTAGGTACCAACCTGCAAAAAATTAGGTACCTACCGTGACAGAAAATTAAGTACCAACCTGACAGAAATTAGGTACCAACCTGATAGAAATTAAATACCAACTTTCAGAAATTAGGTACCAACCTGACAGAAATTAGATACCAACCTGACAGAAATTAGGTACCAACCTGATAGAAATTAAATACCAACTTTCAGAAATTAGGCACCAACCTGACAGAAATTAGCTACCAATCTGATAAAAATTAAATACCAACCATCAGAAATTAAGTACAACCCTGCCAGAAATTAGGTACCAACCTGCCAGAAATTAGATACTAACATGATAAAACTTATGTTCAACCTTACTGAAACTATCCTCGAACCTGAGAAAATCAGCTACCAATCTGAGAGAAGTTATGTTCCAGCCTGAGGAAAAGTAGGTACCAACCTGACAGGGGGCGTGGTACGCTGGCTGAGGACAGGTCTGGTGGGCACATGGGGCAATAGAGGCACTGTTAGGGGGCTCATTTGTAGGTCAGGTTGAGGTACAGCTCCTGAGCCCTGCTGGTAGATGGACCTGCTGGCACTGACGGAAGCACTGCTGGAGTAGGTGTGTGGTTGGGAGGGGCGCCCCCTGTGTCGGTCTGAGGTCTTGTAGACTCGACCGCCGTTTACGTTCACAGAGAGTGTCTTGCCGTTCTGCACAAGATTTTTTTTTTAAATTAACAATGTTATTTAAAAGCAATTATTAAAACGGTAGTTTATTGTATAGTTTGTTCAACTTTATTTATAAAGAGGAAAATTACTGCATAGTGTCCGAGCAATAACTTGGGAATGTTTCTACAAATCGGCTTCAAACTTTCACCGCTAGTGAAACACGATTGCAGACTAATTACTGAATGAGTGGGGAGTGAACCCACACCAGCCACGTTGGTGTGGGTTTTGTCTGTAAAAACCTGCATGTGTGGTCAGAGTGGTGGCCCATGCTAACTTTCCTAGTAGGATGAATCTTGAATATTATTCAAGACATCTGGCCAAGTGGTTAGCACACTGGCCTGTAACCTTTAAGGCTCAGCATGAACTCAGTCCCCAAACATTCCGTGATTTTCATTGTATAGGCATCTAATCCATTCTCAGTTACTAATATATGTGAGTATTTCAACTCATTAACCTAACTAATACATACATACAAATACCATCAAAGTACACCCTTGGTTTTTAAATTATACTAATTTATAAAAAAAATTCTACACACTTTAGTTAGGTTAGGTAAGGTTAGGTTAAGTAAAGTTAGGTTAGGTTAAGTTAGGTAAAGTTCGGTTTGGTTAGGTTAGATTAGGTGAAGTTCGGTTTGTTAGGTTAGATTAGGTTGGGTTTAGACAGGTTAGATAAAGTTAGATTACCTTAGACTAAGTTATTTCATAGTATCTTAGATTAGGGTATGGTATGGTAGATTAGGTTAGATTACGTTTAGCTAGGTAATACAAGGTTAGGTTAGGTAAGTATAGGTTAAGAAGTATTTAGTCAGGTCCGTTTATAAAATCATCTATTGATGATAATAATTTCGGGCAGTAATTCTGGCCAATGAAAAAACAAACAATATATTAATATTCAAAATTGTGTTATGTTTATTTGTTACTTCTAGCTGAGCTAGGAGTAAAAAAATTAAACATCTGATGACAGGCATGGATACTTATCAGGTATCAAGGCATAATGCAAATGGATACACAGGACAGTAACTTAGGTATCTGAGGATGTGGTACACAGATGCATATTATGCATCCAGCCAGCAACTAGCAATCTGAAGGATGGGATACTGAATATGCATCAAGTATCCAGCCATAAAACAGTTCCTTGGACATCTGAGGATGGAATACATGGACACATCAAATATCCAGCCAATACATACAAATTTGGGTATCCGAGGATGGGATTTACAGATACACATCACTAGGGTATCCGAGGATGAGGTACATGGATGCACACCATATATTTAGCCATGACAGTAAATTAGGTACGAGGATGATATACATAGATTTGTCATGCCAAATAGGTAAAACTGGTCAATTATCAAGAGCTCATTTAAAATTAAGTCCTTTCTAAAAATTTATCTTATACGTTTAAAGACCCATAGGTATATTTTATTACATAATATGGTACAAAAGGTTTAAGAGATACATTGTTGATATCAAGATGACATATACAGTACATGAGATGTGAGAGATACATGTCTAGTACATATTGTTACGTGTTTGTCACTGATTATAATGCGAAAATCTCATCCAGCTGTTAATGTAAAAATTAACAATTTTGCACCAAAAGAACCTTAGAAAACTTACCTGACTTTGTTATAACAAGCGCAATTTAATTTAGCTTAATCCAGCTAAATATATTTTAGATAAGTATACAATAATTTAATAATAAACAAACACAATTAAATATATTTTCTTCGTAGGTTCAGAATGATTTTGCGAAATTATTGCATACACAAATTTTCGCTTGCCTTATTTAGCAAGAAGAGCGTCGCTATTTAAGCCATAATCCCAAGTTTTACCTACTCTGCACAACAGATACGTATTTAGTCTAGTCAAATTAACATTGACTAGCTTACAGCATGGATGGGCAGCAGCTAACTGGATGCGGCCCTCAAAAATTATCCCATGAAAAGCATGATTTCAATTTTTTCCAATTTCTTCCAAAAAAAAGAGACAGACAATAAAATCAATCAAAACTTTTCTCAGAGGAAATCTAACAGAAAGTTAATGTTTATGAAAGTTTAGTTAACTTACTATACATTTTTTTAACAATGGTCTTGAGAACAATTAGATGCTATAGGCAAATAAAAAAACATCAAATTGATTTAACTCAGGATAACCAAATAAAGTCAAATATAGTGAATTATTTCTGATCAGAAGAAACATACTACAAATATTTCACAGAAACTAATTTGATTAATAAACCTTGCATAAGATAACTTACCCAACCTAACATCAGGAGATTGTTTGCCTTAAAGAAAACAAATCAGCATTAAGAGTTTAAAGTTGACCACATGATGCATTTTATAGTAATTGCTCAGAGCCAAACTAAATTTATCCCTTTACAGCCTAAATCCATGTTATGTTCCATACGTTTCATACAATGTATCAGCCACTGAAGCTTCAAGACCTTTGTGACTAGTGTCTTCCTCTACTAACGCCTGTGAAATGGGAGGCATTCAAATTTGATTCACGGAATGGAAAGGCCAGGTCCATTTCCTAGGGTTTAGAACCCCTCACTAGTAAAAATTGCAAAACAATGCAATTAGGTAAAATAATGCTAAACCATTTCGAGATTAATAGTGGCAAAATGGCGTGTACACACTCCACTGTCTTCGAAGTAAGATTCACGATTGTTGGAATGTTGAAGTCGATGAGAGGAATCTGTCTCCACCTGTCACACGGAAACAAAATTTGGGAATGACTTCAGTAACACTTTGTATAAGGCACTCATGCACGCAAATAGTCCCATGACCCATTAAACAAGTACTGAAAATTTGAAGCCGATCGACTAAGGTGTTTTCTAGAATAAATCGAAAATTTGTGATGACACCAAACGTAAGAATGTAAGAGAAAAATAAGAATCTCTCGTCGTTAAACTTAAAAAAAAGCCGTAAAACCTCGGATTTTTATTTTTTCAGTTCCTAAACTCAGCGTTTGTTTCTCGTAGTCGATGAAGATGTGTGACGATTCGCTGCTCATTTCCTTCCATCGGCTATTAGTACAGAGGGACTGGAGTATGCTACTGAGTTTAACCTTCTGTTGGAGGTTAGCCATCGTGACTGTATTAAGAATGGGCTCAGGAAGGTGAAATCGCAGATCTAGGGGATGTACAAAGAACCTTTACTGCATATATCAATTCCATCAAATACCTTAACTACTGGGAACGCTTGGAATCACTTGATTTGTACTCACTGGGACGCAGGCGAAAGAGATACATTATTATCAATACCTGGAAAACCCTAGAGGAACTGGTCCCTAATCTTCACACAGAAATCACTCACTACAAAAGTGAGAGACTTCGCAGTCGATGCAACATACGTCCAGTGAAAAGAAGGGGTGCCATTAGTACACTAAAAGTAAATGCCATAAGTGTCTGGGGCCCAAGACTGTTCAATAGCCTCCCACCAGCCATAAGGGGAATTACCAATAGACAACTGGTTGTCTTCAAGAGGGAGCTGGACAGATACCTACAGTCAGTGCGGGATCAGCCGGGCTGTGGTTCGTACGTTGGACTACGCGCGGTCAGCAGCAACAGCCTAGTTGATCAGGCCCTGATCCTCCGGGAGGATCAGGAGGATCCACGGGATGCGTTGATCCCCAGAATAGCCTCCAGGTAGACTGCAGGTAGCAGTGCCGAGGTCATTCTGCACACTGACCCTCAATTTTCTTGAGTAGCTTAGGAAGTGGGTTAGACAGATGTGTGGGTGAATTAGAGAAGGTCAAGCCTGATGTACTGTTGGTCCGCTTGAATGATTTAATTTCCTTGACTGGGGATCAAGAGAAGTCGTTTGACTAACAAGAATACACTTGCTAATAATCAAGAAATTACAGAGGTACTTGGCGTGAGCGACCACAAATTCATTCAGTATTAAAGAGTACTGAATGAAAGTATGACAACAGAGATAACTCAATAACAGTCCCAGACAGTTTACTTACAAAGAGAATGAAATGTGCTATATTTTAAATAATTATTTCCTCTCGGTTTTCAGACAAGAAGATACAAACGATATTCCAGTAATGGATTTTTATTGTTGGTCTGACGACAACAAATTGTTATATCACACTCATTTTATTTATTTATTTATTTATTTATTTTATGTCTTTGCAAACAGTACACTGATATTTTGTATTTACAATAGTGGGTTGCAATACAAAGAGAGCCTCTATTATACCTGGCATTATGGGCCAACTTAACATTATTGGCTTACAGACTACTTAATACTAAGGAGTATGTCATAGTTGTACAGTAGGATAGTAATTATTTCATAGTTGTACAGTAGATTATTAATTATAAGTGAATCTAATTTGTATGACAAAAGATATATTCATATATTCAAAAATGTTTCTTGTGAAAACAATGATTCAATTATATTCCTGTCAACGATGGATAAATGGTTCAAAGTGATTGTTGAAGTTATGATGTGGGAGTACATAAGTGAGTATATATGTACTGAGTATTTAGCGTTTAGTCTATGGTGATTAAGTGGCTTTTGAGAAGAGTCTTAAATTGATTTTCAGACCAGGTTACTTTAATATCTTCTGGTAATGAATTCCATAATTTGGGGCCCTTTACGTACATAAACTTTTACACAGTGTGATATGGACACGAGGTATATGAAAGAGATCTGTGTCTTGTGTTGTGGTCATGTGTCCTGTTAACGTTGGTGAGGAGAAGTTTGAGTGGAGGGTTTATATTTGCGTGTATTGTTCTGTGTATGTAGTAGGCACATTAATAAGTATGGATGTTCTTAATGGTGAGCAGATTCAGGCTTTTGAAAATTGGTGGAGTATGCTGGCGGGAGTGGGAATTTGTTATCATTCTGACTGCTGCCTTTTGAAGGATTATTAGAGGTCTTAGGTGATTTAATGTTGTTGATCCCCATGCACAAATTCCACATGTGAGATAAGGGTATATGAGTTAATGATACAGTGCCACGAGAG